AAGGTACTGTTGGTATTTGGCAGGGGTGAATTAGAGTCTCTTATAGCTACTGACTGACAGCAAGCGTTGGGAAAATAAAAGGCCACCAGTGGGATTCGAACCCACCGTTTAACGGTCTGATTACTGTGTGCTTTAACCACTCGGCCATTTCAGAGATACTGCTTTTAGCTGTTCAAATTAAGCAGATAACAAAATCATTAACCTTACTGCACAGAATGTTGCTGTGTAAAGACTGAGTGATTAACACGCTACAATAGTGCATCACGTCATGTATTTACACATTCACACACAAAATGCTCGCCAACATTAAATGTTCTTCCTGACAGCTTCTCTTTACTATTTGAAAGCGCATCAATATGGACAAGTCCCCAAACCACGTCTATTCATGTCCGAACTCTTTCATAGTATTACGTGAATGACAGTCCATTAGTGCTCTCTTTTTTTGGGGGGGGGGCGTTTTCTCTCGTTTCCGAAACTAGCATAAAATGAATAGTTCTGCTAAATAACATGTGTTGTCTGGTGGACTTGATGTGTGGTGTATAGGTCTTCAGACACATTGTCCTGTGAAGAGAACCTCTTTAAAGCAAATTCCTTCTCTGTAAAGATGTGGTTGAAGAAGCACTTTTCCTGTCATATTATAATTCATTTTCAACATTGAAGACATTTAAAATTGTCGTTTTTTCAGTTGCGTGAAATGTTGATGTGAATACATCACTGTGTTCTTCGTATTAATACTTGCATTTTCTCATCAGTCACTTTTTTACAGTCCAATGTTACATTGAGGCTTTCGTCGAATTCCCGGGATGACATCACAGTTGCTCTCATGCATGTGGATTATGCGATTGATTTGTGCGTTGAGAGGGCTGCGTTTCCTGATTCACGTAAAACTGGAAAAATTCCTCCGGGTTCATTACCCGCTACCGGACCCTACATTCGGAGGACGCCTGTAAGACGTCTGACTGGAACCAGTCTATGGTTACCTCAAATATCGGTCACGCGCAACACCAACTTTGAAATGCCAGTATCAACAATATCATGTATTTTTTGTTAATTTTTTTCAAGTGTTAAATGTTTCAGTCTTTTCAGTATGCATATTGTGACGTATTTTACTTGTTTTGTTAAAATGTATTTTGAAGTATGCAACTCTGGCAGCTAAGCCTGTTGACTACAGTGGTCTTAATAAACCAAACTAATGTGTGGGGGCCAACCGGTCTAATGGCTCTACGGCGGAAAACAGTAAAGAAGTTCTAGCTGAATTCGCTGAATTTTGAAACTGAATGGTAGACTAAGGTAACGGTAAAATATTGAGGGCTTCCATTACCCGTAGAGATTGCACTCGATAAAGCAGCACTTTCATGCGTCGGTACTGTACGGCTCGGAGTTACTTCCTTTTCCCTCGCTCAATTGTTCCTTTAAATCAGTTCAACGGACCGATCAGATGTATAGATGCAGGTATATGTACGGCCAAACAGCAGGAGATTGATGATTAGGAATCACGGGACAGGTTCTGCTGATTTTCCTGCTGGTAGCCCGCACCACTTCCAACTTGAACGATTTAACCTCACTGTGTTAGACTGTGGCGTGATTGATAACCGACACGTAATTTACAAATACGTACAGCGTGGTTTGAGCGGGAAATGGTGAGAATTACTCACACATCACAAGGTGTAGGTCAGCTTGACAATACCTCCTGATGTGTAAGTACTTTACTAGATTTCCCTTATTTCATGAGTGGAATATTTATTAGGTGAAGTAAAACATACAGCATGGCTAATTTCAAGAAAGTACCGGTCCGTCGGTGTAGATCAGCTTGACTTTAATTCTCCCTGCGCTTCATTACAACAGTAAACTGGTTCCACAAAGATTGCTTGCCGCACTCCTTTTGTGTCTCGAGGCGGGTTCCTGAGGAAATTTTGGGGGCTACCAGAAAAAAAAAACATCCGCACGGCTGCAGGGTGGGTACTCGCTGGGATGACGTCATGCAGGCTCGTATCATTTCTACTTCCCGGACGCGCGGCGGTATCGGCCATTGGCGCGCTCCAATTTGTTCGTGAATATTTATGAGATGTAGTTGATAACCACTGTTCATCACAAACACATTTGAGTTCACCGCGAGATTCACTCCTACATCTCCATCGGTCTATGCCGAACAATTTCAAATTGAATTTTGATGCAGCACAAGCTGAGAAAACAAATACCGAAAACAAAAAATGCCCCCCCCCAAAAAAAAGTTAAAACAAAACAAGCAACCAAAACCCCTAAACACATTATGAAAATATTTATAATCACCTCAATTCCTAAATTCAACTGAGCAGGACCTCCATTGAATTTATGGTGCTCCAGTAAATTTTGTACATTCAAAGATCTTCTTAAATTAATAAAAAAACAAAGCTGTATCGGGCGAAGCCAAAGGGAGGAACTGGGAGGCTCCAGCCCCCATAAAAAATCAAACCATCTTATTCAATGACCAAATTGAATGATTTAAATCGCTAGAATGAATGATAAAAACAAATCTGCTTTTCTGATTCAACGCCATGTCCAGAGTGAGACGGAAATGGCGATAGACAGGACAAATTGGAATGTGTCTTTCTTCGTGAATTGCAATGCTCTGAAAGTGAACTCGAGTGACATACGTGTTAAATCGACATCGGAGTCAACAGTTGGGGCGATTAACCCTCGTTGACGTAAACATTGTTTTAAACAATTTCATGAAGAACGTGCAAAATTAACCACGAAGCCTATAGCATTTGTTTATTATATTTTGATTTTTAAGTCATGGCAAACAATTCGGCTTTGCGTTGCAAATTGGCCTCATAAACATGAATGAATGAGTGCATGAACTGTCCGTGTTGTGTCTTTAAGCGTTGAGTTCTTTTGTTGTCCTTGATATTGTAGTTTTCTTTTAATATTATAGACTTTATCGAAAAGAGAAAAATAATAACGCGTTTGCCTCGCCAGCATATTTTGCCAAAGACCTGCCCTTCCCCCAAATGGGTTTGGATCCGCCCTTGTATACACAACGGTGATATTTCTGCGGGTATTACCCTGTTTTTGCTGGGCATAAATTTTCACGCTCTTGGCAGAGCCATAAAATTGGCGTTGAATCAGCGCAGCAGTAGGCTGCTGTCCAGTCTGTACATGGGGGGGGGACACGTGATTTCTTGCTGACAATTCGATTGCCTCTCAACAATAAATCCGCTAAGGTTGCATGTACTCAGAAAAAAAATCAAGGTACCAGCCCAAAAACCTTATGAGATACATTGCGCGCGGTTAATTCTTGCAAAGTGAAAGTTTTAAATGCAAGACATACACAACATTAAACAAAGGTACAGTTTTAAAAGGAGCATGTTTTAATTTTACCTTACTCTGGCAAAAACCGACACCACAATCTTTACCCGTCACCTCCCTTCACCATACCGATAAAGCAAACACTCTCAGAAACATAATGGTACAACATCAGTCCGTAATTGTGAATATTTCCCACCACAAAATATTTTGATCACAAAATCTCCCTAAACAAATCCCAGTCATCCAATTGGTGGCTGGTCGATCACGTATTTTTGAATTATGCGTTAAGTGCGAACTTGTGGTGCAACTGCGTCGCAAAAAAGAACGTACTAATCCACGGTGCAAAGTAAGTAGCTTCTAATCCACTATCACATCGAATTTCAGAATTCCTACGCGATGCAGACATTGTAATCACGCTGGGATTTATTTTGCGCTCAGATAATGAACGTTTCATAATCATACAATGGTGACTGATGAATATAATACAATTCATTCGGCGATTTCATCTGGTCACCTGATGCAATAATTCTTCTCAATGATTTCATAAGCACTCATCACCTTCTCCTTTTTCCAATCTCAATCAAAGAATTTTGAAGCAATAATTAATGATTATGGTTATGAATTCTAAAATATATATTTAAATGACAATAAAACTGGAAATAGAGTTAAATGAGTTACAAACAGCAATGAAAACGTGGCATCAGAGTCATGCATGCATAACATATCAGGTATGTCTTTGTGTATGTCATAATATTAATGAAAACTGTCACTCCGTAATGCTTTTTTTCTGACCAGAAAACCAATAGATGGTCAGATGGCGTTTGACATCAACTGATAAAAATCGCAGTATATCATAATATTTAGCGGCTCATCTTTCGGATGCACGGAAATGCTCCTTAATTAACTACAGGATATATTTCGGCGAGTCCCCGTCATCATGAAGTCGCCCAGAATAACTTCTGTTGTCTCTCAATCAGCCAGGTTATATACCATTTGTTGCGACACCCATGAAAGAGGAAAATGTCTGTGATGGAAGCGGATAACGTTTAATCTCGTCAAGTGCTGTATCATTGGCCGCAGTTTTCACAACCACGTTAATCAACCGTCACAAAGCTGGAATACGTTAAAAGCAGAATAACACTTTTGAATACACATGCACGATAAAATAAACTGGAAGTCTACTCCAAACACATATACCTGTCGGGCTATAAGCAAAAGCCTTAATAAAAAAATTACAAAAATCTAAGGAGTTATTGTACTCTCTGTGCTGCCTTCAACAGATCCGTTATCTATTGATCCATTATGCTTGGAGAACAAGCTTGCGACAAACTGAAGGTTACAAAAAATACAATGCCAACACCAACTTGAAAACGTACGAAAGTCCTGAAGTCCCGTCAATCAAGTGTAGATTTTCAAAAAGTGAAGTATATTTTTTCAAAGTTCGTTTTTGTTAGTATTATTATTATTTCGAAAATAGAAACGATATTTCTAAAAACAGATCTTATTAGAACGAACTGGAGAATGTAAGTCTCGAACAAACGAACTTTGGAAAAATATTTATCGTAGAAACGAAGTCGGAAACAAATATATCTCCTAAAAACGGACTTCGGAAAAATATACTTCACGTTTTGAAAATATATACTTTAATGGGACTTCAGGGCCTTCATAAAAACGTGATAAATAAATGTATAAGTTAAAATGGGATGGATGGGTTCGGTGAAATAACGCCTGAGCAGAAAGTTCAACCTCACATGAAGGGAAAGGTGGGTACTTTGGATGTCCTCTCTCGCAACACGCTCGGCTAATGTGAAGGACTTGTGTGTGACATCGAAACAATTTTTATCGGACGGCAACAAGCGTCCACTGCGAAAATGCCGCGCAGTAGATCATGGGGCTGTACCCACCTCTAGGGGAGGGAGTATTTTGTTTTGTGTTTTGTTTAGTTGTAGATATAGGCCTAATGACAGAAAGGCGACTTGGAGATTTACTTCAGGGCTTCCTTTCAAGCAACCTCAAATTTAGCCTCACCCCACACATAGGACGTAACAAAAATTTCAATCTTTTTGCCCTGCGATAAAAAAGAAAGCCGTGAGTCCCTGGACTGGAAATAGCGTGAAATAGCTCTTCGGCCTAATGGATTGCAGACAGGTGGCCACCTCAGATAAGATTAGACAATGACATCCCATGTCAGGGAAGCCGGTGGTAGAAGATCTGCCTGTCCTTCTAATGCTGATAAAGGACGAGGTTCGGATTTCGTATTTTCAGAAAGGACGGCAAACATCGTGCATGAAATTTATTTAAAAGGACACCATACATCCATAAGTCACAAAGTTTAGCATCTTGAATTACTTGATCTTTGTTGTGATAAGAGAACTAGAGAACAATTTTATTGTTACGATTTTCCTAAGAAAGCAAAAAGTTGCTGCGAGCCTTTTACCGATTGGTGTGACCTAAAATATTTACCACGATGTCAAAGCTTGGAGGTCTAATTTTCCTTTTTGAGAAAGGTCAATGCCGAAGTAAAAACAGAAACAAAAATCACAGACAAATAATAAATAAAATCTGCCGAAGGCCAGTTTGTACACTCTTTGCAAAAGCAATTGAAGTTAAGCATTTTTTATGTTATGGCAAAGCAAGAGAAGTTCCGGGGGGCATTGCCATCCCCAAAAGGAATTTTTTTGGGACAAAAATTTTACTACAGTGGGAGACAGGTGTCTTTTGGTATACTGCGTTTACCTTTCTTCCAAAAGAGTGTGAAAAGCATCACCCCTTCAGAGCTGCCATGAAAGATAACATGAAAAATTCCATTTGGGGGGCCCCCGAAAAGTTTGTTCCAGATTCGCCTATGAGCAAATTTTCCCAAGCAGAAGATTTAAATTTCTTGCAAGTTTCGTTACAGAATGATGATCGTAATGTTTCGCTTTAGCTTCCACGCGAAGTACGAACTGGCCATACGATCGAAAACGTGAGCATACCCAAATTTTACAATTTCGAACCTTCGAAGTGTTTTCATGATAGAAGCTTCATATTCCATTTTATTTTTGGCCCATGAGACTCCTGCAAACTAGACGCCATCTTGCTCCACCACGCCATTACACATCCAAGGTTGGCTGCCCTTGTAGCACGTGATGCAGTCGAAGGTGAGGGTCAGCATACGCCGCCCGTCCCCTTCAAGCTTGCAGTAGTTGCTCAGGCTGTTGAGCAGGGCGCTCCGGTCACTCTCGGCCAGGCTCTGGTAGACACATGTGGCGTTGGTCAGGCAGATGAAGTCCAACAACATCTTGCCGGCCAGCGAGCCCTGCACGAAGCACTCAGACACGTCCACCCGGTAGGCCACGGTCTCCAGGCGGTAGGGGACGGCGTGGCGGCGCAGGATGGGAAGGACGTCGTCGCTGTAGCGCTTCATGTTCTGAGCGGGTAGGTCGTGCAGATTAGGGATGGTGGCCTCGTAGTCCTCAAACGCTTTCAGGAGATCGTTACCATCTGAAATTTAAAAAAAATGAAAAAAAAACCCTTTTTTCTAGCTAGTTCATGGCTTTGCAAACACCTGTCCTTGCTCTTCCATATTTGTGTAAGTGGAAAATAATATATTGAGCAACACCCATACCTTTTATATTGACGTGCTCAACTTAATGCACACAGTCGACACGCGTAAGACAACGAACTCTAAATGACGACACCAAAAGTTGGACTCAAAAGAAATTCCACAGCTGTGAACGTCTTCACTTGTAGACAAAGTTTAAATTATATAAAGTATGGTGATGGGCGAGTCCAGCTCATGTTTTAAGTTGAACTTATAGACATGTACCTGTTATTTTGTAAGCCCGTGTATAAAAATGACAATTCTGCCGGGTATTTTGCGTGAAATTGACATTTCTGGTTCCGAGCCTCTCGGTTTCAGTTCGTTTTGCATGTTTATTTGATTTTTCTTGGTTGTGTTCCGAAAGCTGTGGTATATCCCCGTCCCTGTCTGTGCCCTTGCACTGGTACCCTTCATTTAGTCGTTCGTAGCTCACAACATGCAGTACAAAATTGCCAGCGATACCTTTCGAGGCGATCGTGATGACCATGAGCCCTCCCTCTGTCAGATTGTTGTAGTAATTTTGAATGGTCTCTTCCATGTCACGCACATGATACAGCATTTGAAACATGTGGATCACGTGGTATCGATTGTCCGGACGGCTTGGCAACAAACTCTGAAATACAGAAGGGAGAAAAAAGGACGTTTGTTTGTGAAGATATTAGGCAAGCTGCTTAGTTTCCAGCAGTCGGAGACAGCCTTTATTGGCGTTTTCCAAATCTAAGTTTAGACTCTGTATTGGGCTTCGTCTCTGACGTCAAAACCGCTTGAATTATAGGTCTATAATAGTGTTGGAACGTAACAATAGTTGCAACTTTGGCTTGTTCTGTTATAGTTGGATATATATTCGTGTAAAGTATAACTCGAATTCTTTCCCTAAATTGTATCCGCCTTTAGCAGAAGCACACCCTCATCGGTTGAAAAGAGACATGTTGGTTGAGAGTGTTCATTTCAATTTTTGTGACGTGACCTTAACACGTGCATTTTCCTTGTCGTTCGAACAGCGACGTTCAGTTCCAACCAAAGGAGCCCCAGTTGCAAGAAAATCGCGCCCTGTCTTGGTCCAGCTCGGGGCTCATACTATTGCCACTGCTTGAAAATCAGCTGGAGCCACTGATCACTATACACTGGATAGGCAGCTCTGCTCTGGTCAAGCTTTTACTTAGTTACATAAGAGACGCCTGGCATCAGTACACCGTTTTCAATGGATGAAACTGCACGATAAGCTATCTGACTGAGCAGTTCATGAAGCTACAGACCATCTGATTTTTAGACAGGACATAACTGCATAACGAATTCTGCGGCGAAGCCTGGAATTCCATTTCCTCAACCAAAAGGTGTCAGAGTAGTCCATTAAAAAAATGATAAGGTAAATTAAATATGATGTTTTGGAAAGTGGAAAGTAAATGCCAGAACCTGAAAAACACTCCCGGTACCTCAAAGTCTTCCGAGATTTTCTCGTGCCACTCGAAGGTGGTCCTGCCGAGGGAGAAGCTCTTCTCCTCCGCTGCTCGCTTCTTGAACCGTGCCAGCTCGTCCGGGTTCGGCTCAATTCCGATACAGTGGATGGGGTTCTCGGGGCACTCCCGCTGGACGAGCTTCAGCACGTCGACGTCCATGATCCCTGGAAGATGAAGACAGTGGGGATTATAAAAGGATGAATGTTTCTAAATTGGAAGAGAGCCCATGCTGGGGGAATAATTACAAGGCTGTTGGCATTGCCCGTATTTTTGTTGTATCAAAAAAAACTTTGTCAATGTGGCATTTGTGCTCATGCATGACCTCCATAAAATTTGGCTGTAAATTTATCTTCTGAAAGGCGTGGGTTTGTGTATGAAAGGCCAGTCAAGACACAAACATTGTTGGGATGGCTGTTGGGGACGAAAATTGCAAAACAAATAGAAGTTTAAGATGCTTACACCAGTCTCACCTTGGACAAAAAAATGGAGATTTGGCATATTTTTTCCCGCCTGTTAACACTGATCCCCGATAACAACTTTTCTTCAAAAGGGGGCGCTATTCTCACAAGCGCCTACGGTGCCAAGTACCCACCGACATAAATAATAATACGTTATTTATGTCTGTGGTGGTACCAAAAAGATCATAGTCCGTTTTCCAATACTCGACTTCGGCTCCGTCTCGGGCTTCTGAAATGGCTTTTACTACCCAGCTCTGATGTTGTAAGCGCAATAGTAAGTCTGAAAGTGCCACAAAACATTAAGTACAAGAGCCAAACATTACAGTACTTTAATTTAATTTAAACGAAACCTGAGATGGAGACGAAGTTGAGTATTGGAAAAAGAGGAATAGTAAAGCTAGAGCTGTCAGGCCTATTCTTGTACGCTATGTCAAGTTTGCACAAGAACGTGGCGACATGATGTTCAATGTAACGCGCGCGCACATAAGATATCAGACGTGGCCAGCCTTGGCAGTCAAGACAGAGGTAGAAGTATCCAGAAAAATTGGATGTTTTCTAAAAGTAACTGTCCCACTTGGACATTTTTCATCAGCAAAGAAGTTTCATTACCCCCGGAAAGATAGTACAGTTTGTGAACAGAAGAGGGTAGCATGACTCAGGAATCCCCCCTCTCCCCACTGGATACCCCAACGCACATGTTCTTTCAAGAAAACCCTCCCTGTTGTGTCTGTAATTCATCTCATTGCTTACTTTCTTAAGTAAGCCTCCAGGGGGCGCTATTCAAGTTTCATGTTACATTACCATGCCGCTCGGCATCCATGTTGGTTTTTCGGAATACAGAAGTTCTACACTCAGTAACATCAGTTCGTGTCCCTGCGTCCATTCATTTCACAAACGTAACAAAACCTCTTGACAGATTTCTGGATAATTTGTATTGATCAAATTATCACATTATCGGCAGATTTCAGCACTGAAACCAACACGGAACAACATCAACACCATCCATCAAATACATCGGCCTCCAATCCGTAAACAAAGACAAATATGTCGCTGCCAAATTGTAAGCATCAATACCAACGCTGGTCGTGGTTGACAAATCCTCTTTAGAGCAATAGAATATAGTATATATTCGATTAATTATTCAATAACTAGAATCGAGTTTTAAAAACGCAATGGCTTCTCCAACCGTTTTTACGTACACAAAGACATCAACGACTTTAAGGGAGGCTTTTCTCGTAAAATTACCGTATGCATTCGAATGAAAAAAAGTGTATGAAAATATGATTTCGTTAGTATTGCTAGATCTTATTGCGTTTGATTTTGTCCACAAAAAATGATTTGATATAAAGATTTCCCGATTAAAGATGAAGAGGTAAAATGGTGGTTTCTGGTTCCTAGCTTCAGAAATGATATTGTAAATTCACTTTTTTATACTTCATAATAAGAATTTCACCTAAAATGCCCGTCCAATAATTGACTTAATTGTGTTTTTCGTTCCTGTAACTATAACCAGATTCTTAATTAATGTTTTAAAAACGATGCCAGTTTTTGTTCCTCGTCTTTTATAACGCGGTTCGTCGTGCGTCGACTGCTGTGTACATGCATGCAATTGGGAAAATGGCACGGCCTGCTTCCAAACGTTACTGAGCATGTGCAGTTCTAATTCAGCTAAATGTCAAATGCGGCTATGGGACGCCTGTGAAGGAACTTGGCTGGTTTATCTGTAACTGCGGACACTACGGAAACGTATAACCAACACACGTGCGTACGTGACACTACAGTTTCACGTACGCAAAAGCTATCACGTGCGTACGTGACACTACAGTTTCACGTACGCAAAAA